TATCATACAGACTCACTCAAACACAGAACACGTATCGTACAGACTCACTCAAACACAGAACACGTATCGTACAGACTCACTCAAACACAGAACACGTATCGTACAGACTCACTCAAACACAGAACCCATATCGTACAGACTCACTCAAACACAGAACCCGTATCGTACAGACTCACTCAAACACAGAACCCGTATCGTACAGACTCACTCAAACGAAGAACCCGTATCGTACAGACGCACTCAAACACAGAACCCGTAGCATACAGACTCGCTCAAGCACAGAACCCGCATCGTACTGACTCACTCAAACACAGAACCCGTATCGTACAGACTCACTCAAACGCAGAACCCGTATCGTACAGACTCACTCAAACGCAGAACCCGTATCGTACAGACTCACTCAAACGCAGAACCCGTATCGTACAGACTCACTCAAACGCAGAACCCGTATCGTACAGACTCACTCAAACGCAGAACCCGTATCGTACAGACTCACTCAAACGCAGAACCCGTATCGTACAGACTCACTCAAACGCAGAACCCGTATCGTACAGACTCACTCAAACGCAGAACCCGTATCGTACAGACTCACTCAAACGCAGAACCCGTATCGTACAGACTCACTCAAACGCAGAACCCGTATCGTACAGACTCACTCAAACGCAGAACCCGTATCGTACAGACTCACTCAAACACAGAACACGTATCGTACAGACTCACTCAAACGCAGAACCCGTATCGTACAGACTCCTCAAACACAGAGCCCGTATCGTTCAGACTCCTCAAACACAGAACCTGTATTGTAGACTCACTCAAACACAGAACCCGCATCATACAGACTCACTCAAACACAGAACCCGCATCGTACAGACTCACTCAAACACAGAACCCATATCGTACAGACTCACTCAAACACAGAACACGTATCGTACAGACTCACTCAAACACAGAACCCGTATCGTACAGACTCACTCAAACACAGAACCCGTATCGTACAGACTCACTCAAACACAGAAACCGTATCGTACAGACTCAATCAAACACAGAACCCGTATCGTACAGACTCCTCAAATACAGAACCCGTATCGTACAGACTCCTCAAATACAGAACCTGTATCGTACGGACTCACTCAAACACAGAACCCGTAACGTACAGACTCACTCAAGCACAGAACCTGCATCATACAGACTCCTCTTATCATACAGACTCGCTCAAGCACAGAACCCGCATCGTACAGACTCCTCAAATACAGAACCCCGTATCGTACAGACTCACTCAAACACAGAACCCGTATCGTACAGACTCTCTCAAACACAGAACCTGTATCATACAGACTCCTCTTATCATACAGACTCGCTCAAGCACAGAACCCGCATCGTACAGACTCACTTAAACACAGAACCCGTAACGTACAGACTCAATCAAGCACAGAACCTGCATCATACAGACTCCTCTTATCATACAGACTCGCTCAAGCACAGAACCCGCATCGTACAGACTCACTTAAACACAGAACCCGTAACGTACAGACTCAATCAAGCACAGAACCTGCATCATACAGACTCCTCTTATCATACAGACTCGCTCAAGCACATAACCCGCATCGTGTAGACTCACTCAAACACAGAACCCGTATCATACAGACACTTCTTATCATACAGACTCACTCAAACACAGAACATGTATCGTACAGACTAACTCAAACACAGAACCCGTATCGTACAGACTCCTCTTATCATACAGACTCGCTCAAGCACAGAACCCGCATCGTACAGACTAACTCAAACACAGAAGCCATATCGTACAGACTCACTCAAGCACAGAACCCGTATCGTACAGACTTCTCAAACACAGAGCCCGTATCGTACAGACTCCTCAAACACAGAACCCGTATCGTAGACTCACTCAAACACAGAACCCGCATCATACAGACTAACTCAAACACAAAACCCGTATCATACAGACACTTCTTATCATACAGACTCGCTCAAGCACAGAACCCGTATCGTACAGACTCACTCAAACACAGAACCCGTATCGTACAGACTCACTCAAGCACAGAACCTGCATCATACAGACTCCTCTTATCATACAGACTCGCTCAAGCACAGAACCCGCATCGTACAGACTCACTCAAACACAGAACCCGTATCGTACAGACTCACTCAAACACAGAACCCGTATCATACAGACTCCTCAAACACAGAACCCGTATCGTACAGACTCCTCAAACACAGAACCCGTATCGTACAGACTACTCAAACACAGAACCCGTATCATACAGACTCCTCAAACACAGAACCCGTATCGTACAGACTCACTCAAACAGAACCCGTATTGTACAGACTCAAACAGTGTATCTCAGGTCAGTGCAATGCATTCCATATCATTCCCCTCAAAGCAGCCAAATTCAGTGCTGTGTAAAGCAGTGCAGTGCAGTTCCCTATTATTGTTGTTCAGTAAGTAGAGCAACGTGTTGCATGTTCCAAGGCATGTTGCATGAAGTGAATCAAAGACGAACTGCCCTGTGACACATTAGTGTAGTTTACACACGATTCGCTTGATTTGTTCTTTCCCTTTCATCAGCAGAAAGCTCAGCACAGAAAGACAAACTTTTCCAGGTACCTTCCAATTCAGGCTCATCGTTCTATCGAAAGGTAGCTACAAAGACTCAGACTAAAAAAAGTTGTGCAAATGTTGTAATTAATTGAAATGTTAATTAAACATTTGCCTGGTTTGTCCTCATAGTCAGCTGCAGGTCCTGCCCGGGCCAGAGATCAGCTACAGCGACTTTCTGGACGCTATTGATCGGCGTGAGGACACTTTCTACGTCGTATCATTCAGACGGGTAAGAAGAGCATACCTCTGCTGTGTCGACAGAAAGGATACACACATGTCCTCTCACTCATACTCATTCTCATGCTTGACTCTTGTAGGATCACCTGCTGTTACCTGCCATCAGCCACAATAAAACAACTCGACCCAAAATGTCTCTGGTCATGCCTGCCATGGCCATCAATGGTGAGATTGTGCAATGAAAATCATTTACTCACCCTCGTGTATTTGTTTTTATTCTGTGAAACAAAATATGTTTTGAAAAATGTCTCATGCATGAAAGTCAATGAGGTTCAGTGTGGGGCTGCACGATAGGGGTTAAACGGTTGATCACAATTATTAAACATGATTATTGTCATTTTAATTGTTTACATTTCATCAGAATTATTGCACTTTCACGTAAGCACAAATCAAGAGAACGTCAGCTGGTGTGGTTTGCCCAGATTTTGTCGCAGTGTTTTTTTCCATAATGCAGAGAAAGCACATACGCATACTTGCCAGATTGGGAAGATTAGGTAAACACTGGGCAGAAAATATATTGATTTTAATAGAAAAGCTTGTTTCAGGATAAATAACCAGCAGGCAAATATCACAGATGATTATGCTTAATAAATCGAGAGAAGCAGAAGTCATGATTCATCGTGCAGCTCTAGTTCAGTGTTGTTTGGTATGACATGAGAGTGAGTAAATGATGACATACTGTTCATTTTTATGAACTCTCCCCATTAAATGCTAGATATTCAAAGCCTGTCATTTGTTTCGTGTCCTGTGTAGATTCGGTGTATAACTCGTCTCAGGGCGGCTATGAAATGATGATGCAGGTGGACTGTGAGGTGATGGACCCCCGGATCATCCCAATCAAGTCCTCTGTAGTCCCGCCCTCTCTCAGAGACCCGCCCCCCACTCCGCCCCCTCACCATCACCACGGCAACCACACCTCCCTCCGCAGCCGACAGCAGCACTTGCATGGCAGCGGGGCGTCATCGAGACGGAGGGCCGCAGGTTACTTCATCAGCCAGAGCGGATCCGATTGAGAGAGTCTGAGAGCAGTATCAAAAGACTCTACTTTACTCTCCAGCAGTAGTTTAAGGTACTTTTACTCTCAAATCAAGCCTGGAAACAGAGGACAAATGATCAGACCCATATAAGACACAAAGATATATGATAATGTGAAATGATACATGGTCTGTTGCACTTATGTAGTTAGCGTAGGGTTTTCCGCGGGTGGGCTGTATGTGGCCTCGCGCTTCCTTCCCTCGTGTTAGCAGTACTGTGTTTGTGTTCGAACCTGTTTCTGTATCATCTGCTCTCTTTTTATACATGCCTTGTGTTTTTTTTTTTCTTTCTTTTCTTTTTTTTTTTTCTCGAATTTTTATTGAGATTATTTAAAAAATGATGTGCTTCTATTAGATGTGCGTTATAAATATTGATTTGAATATAAGAAATTATTTTATATGTATTCTCGTCCATCACAGTCCCACATTTCTCCATGTGTATATATACTATATGCTCTGTCACAGGTGACTGCTGGTCCAGTATAAAGCTGCTGGTTTGCTGGTCTTTCTCATTACAGCTTGATTTTTCTTTTTGATGGCAGGGCTTGTGATGGTCAAAGTTTTTGATATAAATAATAACCTAAAAAGTCACAGAATCTTCTGCCGTTGATGTTTTCATTTGCAGGTGTCTTGTCTTGAATGTGTTGCTGCTTTTGTCCCGAACCACTAACAGGATGGGGATCCTGGGATTTTGTGATGCGTCAGCCTGTGCTCCTGCTTCACAGCTAACATCTCCACACGTTTCATTTCACTCAAGTTACTATCATTTATCATTTACTATTATTTTCACACAAGTAAATCATTTATACAGTCCAAAACGGGTTTGTGTAGCAGTCAAATGTTTTTATTAGTGAATGAGTTTTGATTTTGACAGAAGCGCTTCACCGGCCATCCATCATCCCGCTCCGTTTGCTGATATCTCTCAACTTTCTTGTGTTCAACTCAAAGGGAATCTGTGGCCAGATGTACATTTTCGTTGTAGAGACTTTATCAGAAGTAGTTTTCTTTCTGTGAAGTTGTTTTATCTTCTGATTGAACATATTTTCATGTTTTCTTGTCGCCTGCAATCTTCATGGCTTCTTTTCAGATCTAGCTCCATCCATCTGATGATGATGATGATGATGAAACTTTCCCATGATGAACTGCTCTAGCATGCTTCTGTTATCTTTTTTTTACTTTATTTAAATGAGCTTTCATAAGGAAAACACTTACAATTTATCTTCCTGTCTGATTGAGAATTTTGAACTACTGTCTTCATTTGTAGAGGAGAAAATAAATTTGATAAATACTGTGTAGTAAGTGATTGTGTCCAGGAGTCAGTGAACGAAGCATTTCTTATGGAGTAACCATAGCTGACGACGCATGACAACAAGAGAAGAGAGAGTTGGGTGTGATTAAACCGTATTATTAACACCAGAACGCATGAAACAAAAGACAAATGATTTGATTTGATGGATTTCTTCAAAAAAGATAGTCCTGGTAATGAATGATTCACAAATGTTTTCTGATATATTAATCATGTTAATTTGCCCACTTCGTTTGTTTACACACAGTACAAAAGCTGCAGTCCCAGTTTTTTTTCTTGCAGCGTTTCATCTCTACCAGGTTTGCATATGTGAATTAGCTTTAAAAACAAAGTAGAAAATATATGATTGTTTCCTGCAGAAAGAGGGCGCTAGAGATTCTGGGTAAGTTTTTTTTTGTTTGTTTGTTTTTTTTTAGACACTAACCATGTTGGAGTTGAACTTTTGGTTTGTGTGGTGTGCCTGTAATGAATGGAAACACCAGAGACATCAGCGTACAAAATAGCACACGGCCCGCTAGCCTGCTGCAGAACATTTAGAAACGTAATATCTACAAATGTATAAATAAATATTTCATATGAATAAGAGTAGTTGTGACGTATGATGTTACATTGTCATTGTACTCTGAGAGTATAGCTGTGGACGTACATTTTTGGGTAATAAGCAGAGTCGGAGCAGAACTCCTGTCGGACAACATCTCCAGGACGCTACGCTCCATATGACTAGTAAGTCAAATCTCAAATAACTGCTATGATGACTTTTGTTCTACCCGCTTAAATGATAGAAGTACTTGCACTGTCCAATCTATAAAGACTGTGTCTGTTCCCCGAATAGTGAGGTCAAAATATAAATTTAATGCAGGATCTAGAAAAAATCTGATCGTGATTAAACCAGAAAAATGTAAAATAAATTGACAAAAGCAATTTTTTAAGTTTGGGCTCCTAAACTAGATCACGCTCACCCAAAGCAGTTATTGTAAATGAAATAATCACAGATAATCGTTTTGATGTACTCTGCTTGACTAAAACCTGGCTAAAACCAAATGATTATATTGGTCTAAATGAGTCTACTCCACCAAGCTACTGTTATAAGCATGAGCCCCGTCAGACTGGTCGTGGCGGCGGTGTTGCATTTAGATCCTACCTGTCCGATCGCTACCACTTTGTTTATTTAAACGGGGAGTCATCTAAATTATCACCAGTAAAGTATGGAGTGTATGCTATTTTCAATATACATCTTGCCCCTCTTGAAAAACAAACAAGAACACAATGTCCACACTAAGCACTCTGCGCAAATCACCAGTCAACCAAAACATAAACAAAATAAATGGTTATTTAGTAACATTTGGCTCGATTTAATAATTAAGTCCTTTCTTGACTATTCCATGGCAACACCGCCCTCTATGGCTGGAAGTAAAGGTGTCGACCCACTTCAATGAATTGGGGATTTAATGGTCATTTACACTCTCTCTGTCAATTTTGCTTGGTTGGAACAGCAGCTATGCTAATTATGTCTCTATTTGTTTCTCTGTTTCTGCTGGGATTGACATCCCGTGTTAACTAGGATTTACACAAGCTTCAGTCTGGATCCAGAACACCTGAGAAGAGATGATGCCAACCCCTCAGAGGACCTCAGATGATGCCAACCCTGAAACAACTTACAGAACTACCACATTTTGCTATAAGTTTGATTGCATGATATAATAATTGCTGTTAATAGTGTTCATTGTCTGTTTGATTAGGTCTTTAATTGATTTTTAAAGCTTACATTTCTGCCATATGTACATTAACTGACAGTCACCACTGATAAGCTACCACTAAATATTGTAGAAACTTAATTTTCTGTAAAGTTGCTTTGCAATGATTTGTATCGTGAAAAGCGCTGTATATAAACTTGAATTGAAATGAACTGAATTTATAAAATTGGCGTAGTTTGCAGTACTTACTATTAAGATGTAATAAGAGACTATTAATTGAGCATATGCTTTTGCCCACAAAACCATTTCCATTACTCTTTTTATTATAGGCACAATTCCTCTGGAGCAGCCTGGACTCGATTATAGGAGGGTTGCTTACAGGATTCAAGCCTTTTATTTATCAGCCCTTACTAGTCCACACCACATAAATGATTCCAATGGCCAAATCCAGAACATAAGAATTCTCCATGAGTTGACCTTTAGCAATAGTAACTGCAAATATTTAACACTCGTTTCAAAGAAAGGGAATAAATGAACTAACAGATGATTGGGCACATTCACCAACCTATTATTTTAAATGAAGCAAAGTGCGTGCTGCAGCATTTCTGCAGACCCTGAGCATATCGATCGTGACAGATTGAAAGCCCTGTGACGTCATTTCACGTGACTTCCTCATCGTGTGCTTTAGAGGCCAGGGCTGATGTCATAACTCATTGCTCTTACTGGCACTAGTTCTCCATTCAGTTGCAAGTGTGCCTCTTGCATAATGTAATATCACCCCATCTGATAGGATTCTCAAGTGCCCTTTTATAATTTTTCTATCATGCACGACATATAAGTGTCTGTTTCCATGTAAGGAGGAAAGAAACAATCTCATGCACTTCTTTAGAAATGTCCAGCGGTTCACAGGCGAGGACTTTGACTTGGATCACGGTCTTCATGATAGTGTGGCTGTTAATGTGTTGAAGTGTTTGCTTTGGGGAATTAATATGAGCAGAAGGAATCCAGCAATGTGTGAGAGCATGTATCTTTATGAAGAGCTTTAAAGTCGAGGCACCAATAAAATCAACCACCTAGAACAGCAAAGTCTTATTAAAACTCCTACTCACTGCGCACATGTGTGTGTGTGTTTTGTAGAGGCATGAGGCTCTTTTGGCTCTGTTTTCCTATGATTGTGTGTTTCTGGAGTTCGAACAATGCTTTTGTGTGCGCAATCAGTGGATAGGAAGACCGATGCTGGAGCTCGCAGCTGAGCGCCTGTACTGTACAGTGATCAATGCTTGGGCTTTCACATGACCCAGGAACTGAGATCACACACACCTAACGTATCCATGGGTGACACACTGTCTCTGCATCAGCTGCTTGCATCAATAAGAAGCGTCTAATAACTGAACGATAAGGTGCATTTATTTCTGCAGGACATTTAGCATGAGTTACGTCAACTGGTATCTCTGTGGAAGCTATTCCATATCTTTATCCTTATCTACGCAACCAAACTGTTCAAAAGCTTCGTATTCTACGAATACTCTAATGACTGCTAGTTGACATGTAGTTGCAAAGTTATTTATAGTTGAATGTCTAAAGTGGACTATCAAAATAAAGTGTAACCTTAAAACACCTTCATTTGTGTTGAAGATGAATGAAAGTCATATGGGTGTGGAGTGACATGAGGATGAGTAAATGATGACAGGATTTTCATTGTTGGGAGAGTCTGTGTGCTGCTGAGAGCTTTGATCACCTGTAGAAAAAAACTGCAGACTGATGTCCGACTGGCAGAGTTTGTGCAGGAAAACAGACAGGAGGAGTTTTTCTGTGCTCACAGTGTGTGTTTGATCGTATAAAGTCTGCACACTTGATGCACGAGGCGAATATAAGGGTCCCGCTCACAGCGCTCTAGTAGAGCTGAGGAAGAGTCGAGTAAAGCAGGCCATGCACACTTCCTCCATCACTCCTGAACTGAACAGCCGGGCTCAGGCCCTCTGGCTTCTTTACTAAAGGTCCTTCATGGAAGATTCAGAGCATCTCCTCAGGCTCACTGAAGTGCATGCTGTCATTATCGACGATGGCTTACTTTGAATTTATTCATGCTGACAGTTTTCACTACTGGAGGTTAGTGGGTCGCTCACGGAGGAACCGTCAGCTGTACCTCTACACCATTGACAATCAATAATGAACCTTTTTTGCCCGTAAATATTTATGTGACCACAGTTTAAGATTTTATAGCTGTCCTTGGAGGAAGTGTGGGAGAGAATGAGACATGAAGCCAGAAAACATACTCATTCTTGCTGCTCCTTCCTTCACTCATTGCTGCCATCTCAAAGATGTGGAGACAGGCTTCCACATCGTCCAGCTCTAAGAGCTTAGTTTGTAAATTGTGAGGAAATCGGGCATTGATGATCCGTTTCAGGTGTGACTGATTTCCTGGCTCTGCTCTGCCACACTAGCATGTTGTTTTCATTACCCAGTGAGATGCTGAGACACGTGTAGACAGCTGGCCATCAGAACAGCTAGCAGTAGTGTGTGTGTGTGGCTGTTGATGGGGAAGGGCAAAACAATAAATTTGTTAATCTAAAAAAATTATGTCCTGGGCCCCAGCATAGTGACTTCAAAACTTGTTAGTTTTTTTTTTTTTCTTCTTCTTCTTTTGTTGCTGCATAGAGTCTTTAGTACACTTTAGCATGCTTTTAAAAAGATTTCTTATTACAGAATTAATATACTTTAAAAGAATATACAGAAGTGCAAACTAAATGTAGTGTTATAGGGTGCTTAATTGCATGTTAATTGCAATGAAATAAAAATGTATTTTAAATGTGTCAAATGCAGTTAGCTGAACTTTTGAGTGCTTTTTTGACACTTTCAGTAGGACTTAAAGGTTTAGTTCACCCAAAAATTAAAATTAGCCTGTGTTTTACTCACCCTCGAAGCATCCTAGGTGTATATGACTTTCTTCTTTCAGACGAATCCAGTCTGAGTTATATTAAAAATTGTCCTGGCTCTTCCAAGCTCTTATCATTGCAGTCAGCGGGTGTTGCAGTTGAACAGTCCACAAGTCGTCAAATAAAGCGCGCGCATCCATAATAAAACGTGCCTCACACGGCTCCGGGGGGTGAATAAAGGCCTCCTGTAGCGAATCCATGTGTTTTTGTAAGAAAAATATCCATATTTCAAACGTAATAAACAATTTTCTCTCACTTCCGGTATCTGTCATGTGGAAGCCGTGCCGGCGGATGCGCCTCTGAGAAATGCTAGTCTCGCAAGTTTGTTAACAGGAGCAAAGGAAGCAAAGTTTCC